ATGTTTTTATTTAGTCCAGACGCACTTACCCCGGGTACGCACTTGCCCCACTTTACCCTAATGAAATTTTTTTAAGCCTGCGTTGGTGTGGTGCCTAGAACTTACGTGTCTGGTGTGGTGGGGTGTGACACACCCCATAGCAAAATACATCTTGGAAAACTCAATACTTTAGTATCTGCATCAAAAGTATATACTTTTCGTTTGAAATACTGCGAACTATTAAAAAAATTTAAAAAGTATTATCAGCTCAAACAACTTATTGCACAGTTCATAAATAGCAACTTGAAATTATTACGTTTGTCTGAAATGAAAAAAAAAAAGACTAAAGACTTCTGAACACAAAACACAACGCAATTTTCTTTATTGACTTTTAAACAAATAAAGATTATAAAGAATAATACATACATCAACAAAAGTTACAACATCATTTACAAACTTTTCTCGTTGACGCAAATATCGCATTTGAAACATGCGTGTTCTTAAGAAACAAAATGTCTGCAATCATAACACACGTAGCGACTTTTCCTCGTCTCTTGTTCTGTGACAAACTACACATCTACCTTGTCTGACGTTTAGTCAATGCTTCATCACAATCTGCAGTCTCATAGCCCGGTGTCTCACGCAGTTTTCTCGGCAACCGAGGATTTCTGTTGTCTTTCTTTCATATAATCTGCAATCAGTAACAAACTAAGATATTTCAAATATTCTCGATGCTTCAGTATATAGTCATTATTGTTGATCTTATGGATTACTTGGAAATTAATTCCACACATATTCAAGAGCGCATAGAATACCGTCAACGGCCACCTTATGCTGTTTCGGGAAACGTCGTATGTACCTGATAACTGGTCAACTGTGTCAACCCCTCCTTTCTTTAGTAACATTGTAGAATGTGACTATTTCTGGCTTCCTAGCGTTTTCCGAAGATGAGTCTATTTTGACATCATAGTGTAGAGTAGGTTTGTTGGAAACCAAAAAGTGTAGAATAGTGTTCTCAATTTTTTGTGATGACCATTGTGAAAGAAATTTGCTTCTTTTTCTTTCGGATAGTACCCACAGATGTTAATTGGTGTTATTCAAGAAGTTGTTGCATTAATGAATAATTAGTGAACCAATTATCTAATGTAATATTTCGTTTACTGCCAGACACTGGTGATATCAATCGTAAAACTACATCTGTAGGCTTCGTACTCAGTTTAAAAGGACCATTTGGTTGAGAACCACAATAAATTTCCAAGTTTGTAGTATAATAACATATTGAATCAACTAAAGCAAAGATTTTGATTCCATAACGAGCCGGTTTATTTGGAATGTATTGCCGAAAAGGGCACCTGCTACGAAATGCCTCAAATTTTTCATCAACAGTGAGATACATGCAGGTGTATAGGCAGATTGAAAATTGTCAACTACTCTTTCGAAAACACCTCTAATTGGGGCTAATTTATCGATTTTGATTGTATCTATTATTATTAAATTGCAGTTTTAGCTTCTTTAGCGTGTCGTTTCACGCCAGGCAATTGGGAAATTGTATTTTCGGCTCTAGTGTGAACCGATCGTAGTTCTACCTTTTTAGCCCATTTCGTCACTTTATCTCTGCCCCAATAATATCTAGCAAATGTACTCACATCATCTCCATTCTCTTGTTCACTTTCATCTTCGTCGCCATCTTGTTTTGTGTCTGTGTCATGAGAACTTTCACCAACATTGTCGAGCTGCACTTTGTCTTCGGAATCAGGAATACCCTCATCTTTATCACTTTGTACTTCTTCCCAGAATCTTAGCAACCTTGCTTGCTCTTGTCCATATTCATATTCGTAACAAATTTTGAACACAACAACCAGAGTGAAAAACAAAAAATCACGTGAAGTTCGGAAAAAATGGCCAGGCACCAACAATGATGGTGTGGTGGGGTGTGACATACCCCTGCGGCATATTCTGACATTTATGTAAGTGAGTATTGAAGAAATTATGAAAATAACAATGCTACTCGATAGAGTGATGTTATAGTAACAGGTACTGAACAATAGAGGGCAGTAAGATGCTGTTTTTGAGAGAAATTCCATTTTTTTTCATGCGTGGGGTGTATCACACCCCACCACACCAATGCAGGGTTAATATAGTTATAGTATAGTAATTTTTAGCATTGTTAAAAGTAAATATATTAAAATGCACATTTATGTCGAGGAGAAATAAAAATAGAGGAGTCAAATTTATATACAGTGCGATACACATATATTTTATTCAGTTTTAATCAAATTTTACATAAATTAAAATAAAAGTTATTGAAAGTGCATGGGCCGCCCCGCCGCCAATTATCTTATTGCCGAAAAAAGCAGGCGATACGCTGTTTTGCGTAGGGAGCTATAATTCGAGCGCTAACACAGTCGCGTTGATGACGCGGAACACAGGGCTCATAATTTCCATGTTATACGTGACTGTAGTTGCGCTGCGTTGTTAGCGCGGGTCAAAATTTACTCGTCATTGTTAGCTTCTGATACAAGTCCTGCTTGACTACTTCGAGATTCATCATTTTTATCAGGATTTGATTATGAAGTTGAATCCAGAAAATCTTCTGATCACGTTAACGTCGACTATTTTTCTAGAGCTTGTAGCATGCAGAAAATTCTTTAAAAACTATCTTACATTCAAGAATAAAACTTTTTAGTACGCCATGACTGTTGAAATGAATTAGAGGTGAAAATTTGCAGCGCAAACCAAGTATTAACTATAAACTTAAATAGATAAGTTACAGTGCAATAACAAGTGATTCGCTGAAAAAGACAATGTGCAGTGTATTGTATGTAAATATTGTATGTATGTAAATAAAATAATCTTCAAAAAAACAACACTATTGGAATTTTTAAAAATAATTCCATACTTCCACAAAGTTTCCTCTTTATTGTTACAAAATAAAGTGTTCTTTTGAGGTGAATTCATCTCAATCTCAATCCATCATCCCCCATTCTTGATGCTTTAAAAATCGTTCACCTTTCAATAATGCCGCCATTGATAAGTTCACAATATATCCTTTTTAATTGCGTATCATGTCATGACATAAACTGTCGTAGTATCATCTTTAATGAAAATGGATATTTTGTTTTGCTCCAGTTTTACGTTTCTTATCTCACCCAAACAAGTTATAAAAAGCAACTTATAAATAAGTTTTAGCAGATAATGGCAAAAAATCAAAAGTTTCGCAGTGAATAGACAGAAAAGTTTATGCGCACTACGAAAGAACTTTTATTATTATTATATTCAACGGAAAAACTTGGAAAGTTTGATAATGAAAGGATTTTCATAAAGAAATCTTATATGTACATATATACACACATATACATATATATATATATATATATATATATATATATACATAAATCAGAAATACTGGATATTAGTGACTGTCGATATAAACAAACAACACAGTTTATTAGGGTTGCAGTCAGAATATTGGCCGGGATGTTAAAAAAAAACACTCTTTTGAATTTTTGTCGAGCTTTCGGAATGGTTTTATTCCTTTTTCAAGACATAGTCGTTGAGATTAATTTTGTAAGCATTGACACTCAACATTTATACCACACATTAAAATATACAATTATTGACATAATACATCATAAAATTTTTATTTATTTTATTTATTATTATTATCTTTATTTTTTTTATAAAAAAAAATTATGATGTATTATGTCCATAATTGTATATTTTAATGTGTGGTATAAATGTTGAGTGTCAATGCTTACAAAAATAATCTCAACGACTATGTCTTGAAAAAGGAATAAAACCATTCCGAAAGCTCGACAAAAAGGTAAAAGAGTGTTTTTTTTAACATCCCGGCCAATATTCTGACTGCAACCCTAATAAACTGTGTTGTTTGTATACATATATATATATATATATATATATATATATATATATATATATATATGTATATATATATATATATATATATATATATATATATATATATTTACATGGTTTTACTGAACAGATGACATCGCTATCAAATGCCGAAAAAGACACTGATCTGCAAAAATACGACCAAAGGAGTAGTCGTCTCACTAGATGAAAACTGTTCCAACAGTACCTGCAGACGTCGTACCCAAAGATGGCCAATGGGAATATTTTTCAGAATTATAGATATATCTTGCAGCAATGCATACATAGTTCATCAGGCATACAAAGAAGTTCCTACAATATCGGAAAGATTTAATTAAGATTTTTTTAAACAATTGGCAAAACAGTTAGTAGAACCATATATGCGAAAACGGGAAACCAAGAGTCATATTTCAAGAGAAATAAAAACTTGTATCTGTCCGGTATTAGGTATTCAAGAAATAACTGTGTCAGATATTGTAGATGACAACATTTTGGAAAAAAGAAAAATAAGCTCGATTTTCCCTAGTAAAAAAAGACGAATGACTAAATACCTTTGTAATAATTGGAAAAAAACCGATATACCTCCAGTACACAAAACAAGTGTGTATTCGATGCACAGCAGATGAGTAAAGTGTTTAAGAAAATTAAGTACTTTGACATTAAATTTGTTATCTTATGTTTAATTTAGTTCATGTTTAATTTACTTTTTCAAGTATATGTATATGTTAGTTAATAATAATTTATAATTATTTTTTTTTATTATAAACTTTTCAAGTGTTACACTTGGTTTATATTTTACGGTTTCCAAAGTAATACTTTTTTTTCAATTATTACTTTGTGTTGGTTTTTGATATTTATTGAAAATATGTTATTGCACACCAATGTAATTAAGACGTTTAAAATATATGTAACTGAATTCTACAAAAAACATGCAAAAAACTTATTTTTATTTAGGGTAGTCTCACAGACGACATGTCAGTAATTCTGTTCCAATATTCATATGTCAGTGACGAGTGGTTAACATAAAACTGTATTTATTTAAAAAGAGGTAAAATAAAGTTGCAAAACTTTAAATATAAGACAAAATTTTATATCTGAAATAAAATAAATTATATGTAGAAACTTACATGGTTAGCTCATCTCCTTCGCCTAATAGGCATCTGACCGGTACATAAATGAGCGTCGTCAGCAAAGGGATACCCCAGCCTATTAATATCATGCCCTTTAGGAGGTTCCTCTGGGAAATAAATGCCCAGACAAGGACCGTATGCAGGTAGAGTCCCTCGCACAACATCCACGAGTAATTTGATATCAGACAAGTGTAGAGAACGGTGTGAAGAGCTATACAAACTGCCTGAAAACAAATTTGTACCGAATTACTACCAAAAATAATGAGATAAATTAGGGAGTTTGTATGGAAATATTGTCTTTCAGAGCAAAAACCATAAATTGGTTTACGAGCAGTTTTCCAAATTATATTTTAATGTACGAATATCGTATTACTTTATTATTTAAAAATAATATTGAATAGCTCTATAATTTTAAAAATATAAACAGTGCCTCTAAGCAAATAATGTGTAATAATGGTTTATTAACTTTTTTTATTATTATTAACGTAAAAATTTATTTAATTTCATATAAAGATAAAAAATTACTTTTATTTAAAATATGATAAAAAATACATTGACAATATTGTTACGATAAAAAAAATATATATCTTTACCCGGCTTAACCCGCGTATAGAAAAGTAACACTTCTTCTTCTTCTTTTACGGCACTACAGTCTAAATTGAGCCTTGGCCTCCTTTATTTTTTGCCACCATCCTTGCTTGTCTGTGGCTGATCTTCTCCATACACGGATTCCTAAAAGGGCTTGTGCGTCGCTGTTTACTGTGTCTTCCCAGAGCTTTCTTGGCTTTCCAACCGGTCTCTTTTCCTTTATTGTAGCATTCAGTGTTCTTTTTGGTAGCCTATCCACTCCCACTCTTATCACATGTCTGGCCCATTGCAATCTTTTTATTCTAATGAAGTCTAACAGTGGTCCTTCCTTATAACCTCGTTGTTGTATCGACTTTTATAGATTTAGTTTTCCCTCACAGGTCCTAGTATCCTCCTTAGTACTTTCCCTTCGAATGTATGGAGTTTGCTTCTGGATGTTTCTTTCAGAACCCATGATTCACTGCCAATAGCCTGCCATTGGCCGAATTAAAATTTAATAGATAGTCATATTTGAATTTCGGTGGACATTTTTAGACCGTAATATTTGGGAGAGGACAAAATAAGCTCTGTTTGCCTGCGTTATTCTCTTCAGCATTTGCATTTCTCCATCTTCTGATCCGTCGACATATATTTCTACTTCCAGGTATGTAAACTTTTCAAACGTTTCAATGTCATCTTCCTGTATAATGTTTTGTGGGACTATATTTCTTCTCATCTGTATCATTATTTTTGTTTTTTCTGTGTTAATTTCCAGACCTAGCATTGTTGTTTTGCGTTTTTAACTCTGCGTATATTCTACTCGTAATATTAATATTATAGGCATAAGCGGCCATTTGAACCGTTCGGTTGGTCAGTAGGTTGTTTCGTCAATTTGCATTTGCCTAACCGCATATTCCAGTGCTAGGTTAAACAAAGTTGCGGCCAGCTGATCTCCCTGCTTTAATCCCTGCACAATTTTGGAAAAGTCTATTCGGAGTTCACTGCGCCTGTGGTGACAAATTGGTGGATCGAGTAGCTCAGGAGTCACTACTGCCGATGCTAAGCCCGCGTAAAGCAGAAAGGTTAGGCAGTGGGCTGACAATCCACTCCTAAAAAAACACACTATTACGAAACCTGAACATTTGCCTCAGAATACAGGACGGAACATGACTACACGCAAACGGTCTAAATGACCTGGTTGTAACGAGTTCGTCACTTCAATAATCCTTTAAACATTTTTAAATAAAATTTTTAAATTCAAATCCTCTTAATGATTTTCTTAATTCTTAAATTTTAAGTTGGTATTTAAATACCGCCACCAAGTGTCCATGTTTGCAACCATAGTTTAGCTAACTCAAAACAATTGCCCATTGCCCACTTCTGCTTCGACGTTCTTTAGAGACACTTGGGTTTAAAGGTATGGGCCAGGGAAGGCTTAAAATGTTTTTTATTTAGAATATTAAAGTTTTTTTAAGAAGAAGTTGCAGGAAGTTTTGGTTTGGTTTTTTTAAGTGTCCTGTTGGTTTACCAATTATCAATAAAACAAAAATTAAAAAACCATCAGCCATTTCGATATCCTATAGTATTGTTATTTTTTATTTGATTTGGTATGTTTATCTGAAATGTTTCACATCACTTTGTAACCTCGAAAACCTTTTTTAGATGGTGCTAGAAAGGTCACCAATGGAGATACTGTGGACAGCAGCCAGATTGTTGCAGGAGAGCGAGTCGTGGGTTCGAAACGAGCTTTTGGAACCGGGAATGGGTCCAACGTATGAAATAAATAAATATGTGAGATATGTGAGAAAAGATACAGAAATAACAAAAAGATGGATGGGTAAAATTACCAAAGATGAGATAAGATAGAAATAGGGCGCCACTCAATTTTTTGGGGTTAAGGGGAAAATTAAGAAACCGGAAAGAGATAAGGAAAGATATTTAGGTTCAAAGAGCAAACCCAAGAAAGGCTATTAATAGTTAATTATTAAATAAATTTGGTCAACACACTTCATAAACAAATAATAAATATATTACTTACCTACGAAACTTAGTCAACCTGATTTTTCTACTGGTCACAGGTATAGTAATATTTATAGGTTTAAGCACATACTTATGTAAAAAAACACATACATAAAAATTATGACGCTGCTGAATGAAACACAAGTAATAAAAATACACCAACAACTATAAAATGGTGGAAGACATATAAAAATAAGCAGTAATATAATTAGAAAATACCTTTACAAAGATATATAATACAATCACGTACAAATAAAGTTTTGGCGTATCTCAGATATTACAGCAAAAAAAAAAGAATAAAAGTTATAACCAACACAAAATATAACAAAAATTATTCAATTCTAAATTTACAAAAATACAAAAAGGGTACAGAAATGAAAACATAATAATTTAACCAAACAGCACTTAGTTAAGTGGATTAACTATCTCGCACTATTATTTAATGAGAAACTGAGACTTAAATGTTCATAATTACTACTTATTGATATTTCTTGAGTCTATTGAAATGTTCTTTAAATTGAATGCAAAAATCAGCAATCTACAGGTAAAGACATGGAGGAACTTTAGATACGTCCAGATAATGGCAGATGATATGATACCATACCATATTACTCGCCCAGATAATTTAAAGATAATTATTACTTAATGTAAATCTTGACGACTGCGGCGCTAGGTACTTCACTGAAGCTATATACTGTATTTAATACTTTACTTGTATCCAACACTGACTTTAGTTAACATTAAAGGTACTTTAGAACTATATATAATCTAATTTAGTATAAGAAAAGGAAACTCAAATATAAAGTGTATACACACTTAGAAAACAATAAAAATTTCTGATCGTAAACACGACCGTCACCGCATCATCGCGGGGTTAAAAGGAATAAAAAATAATTTAATATATTAATTATAAAAAAAACTGTTACAATTTCATTAAAAAATTGAAAATTCAAAAATTGAAACATTTTAATTTTACTTCCCGGCCTTAAAAACATAATTATTTATCTTTAAATAAATCTATTATCTATTAAGAGTATCGATAAAAATATTCTGTCTTATATCGTTCCTTATATTATAAAATATATTATTATGCATATCATGCTTTTCGTTAAAATTGTCGACGTAATTAATTCATTTTACTTAAAATATTGTCAAACCATATAAAGGTCACATCATTTACCAAACCATTAAGTTTTTTATTTGGTTTTACACTTCATAAGTAACCTTTATAAAACCTTTCAAGGTTCATAAACTCTGTGTCAAGAGTAAGAAAGAACTCTAAAACAAATGTTTTTTTAGCCTACCTTTGGGAGTCAAGCAGAAGTCAGGGGAAGAATTTGTTGATTTTGTTTTTTGCGATATTTTTTTTAAGAAGAAGGTTTAAGTTAATACCTAGTCGAAGTTACACCTGGTTTTAGGGTTGATTCTTTTCTGACGTAGCTGTTCCCCGGAGGTCCAGATCTGACCTTATTATTCCCGGAAAACTTTGAGAAATTACAGGGAAGTATCTCCCTCCTTCAGAGTGTAGAATATAGTAAACCTGTATTAAGTTTATTCCTTAGTTTTAATTTTATTTTATATATTTTTTTAAACGTTAAATCATATTATTTTTACATAATAATAAAAAAGCGTCATTTTTTCTAAAATAGTACCGAAACATATTTAGGGACTAAGCAGGTTGAGGTTTTAAATCCTCCCTTTTAACTCAGTTGTACGGTTTTATGAGTAAACATTTAATCAGAGAGTTATTTATTGATACTTTATTATTATTATATATTTAAACCTTTGGGCATCTATCCCGTCAGGACAGTGTCCTTATTACTTCTTAAGATATTTAATTGAAACCCGAAGTACAGAGTTACATCTCTAGTATTCAAGTAAATTACCTTTTTAGGTATATTCATTAAATTTGTTCTTATACTTTATTATTTGTAAATTCAGATCATCAAGGATCAGTTGTGTATAACCAGGGTATTTATTTTTTTGTACATAAGTAACGAAATAGGGTATTTATTTTTTTTTTGTAAATTAGTAACTAGGTTGACTGTACATAATTGGTGGTGGGTAGCTATAAAAAAAATATGCTGTATATATTTGGATAGGGATTAAAATTTGTGGTAAAAACTGAATATTTTAATTAATGCCGGTAAAAAAATTAAACATGGTGAATTATTGTTGTGTTCCGTGTTCAAACAAATGCTTAAAATATTACAAAAATGCATAGGTTTCTCCTGAATGAAAAGGTAAGTTGTAACTGAAATTTAAAGTATTTTCTTGTTGTCAACTAATGAATAATGATATATTATTAATATGGTTTTATATATTGCAAATATGTCAAATTTGAATTGTCCAAATTAATAATCAAATATTAGCTAGAAAAACTCTGATGGAAATTCGGTAATCCTATAGATGGAATCAGCTATGTTTTAAACGGAACCAGTGCTGTTCAATGACGTTTTAT